TATTGCTCCCTCTGCCCCTATGCTGGGCCCAGCCAGCCGCACAGAACAATCGGGACCCAAAGCAGAGGCTGCACTGTAGTCAGGCAAATTAGGCGGCCGTCTCGGCCCACGCTGGGGCTTTGCAGCTGCCTAATTTGTGTGAGTACAGACCAAGGCTGGCAGCGGCGGAAATATCCCAGAAGGAGAGGCCAGGTGAGTGCGTTGTACCCGGGGGGAGAGCCGGGGGGCAGTGGACACATAGGCAGTGAGAGAGGAAAGGGGTGGCACAGTAGCAGTTGAAGAGTCAGATGGGGGGGCTTATTATCTGGCAGCGCCCCCCCCCCCTAGACTAGACTAGACTAGACTCTGGATACGCCCCTGATTGGATCATAGCAGAGAGCGTGAGAGGGGTGATCGGATCGGTGCAGAGAGACTGAGTGAGAGGGTGCTCGGATCGATTCGTAGAAGAGCAATTGATTGATAGTAAGGCTGGGGAGACAGGAGGAGCAGGAGTAAGAGAAGGAGCTGTAGGAGGTGGAAATTGTGTGGACGGATAGAGCAGTGGTGAGAGGTAGTCTTGGGGGCCCACAGTAGAAGGGGCAGGCAACGCTGTGAAGAGAGGCCAGAGTGGTATTGCGGTTTCAGAGGGGCTTGTAAGCGAATCAGGTGCTGGTGACAGGAGCTGAGCAGGAGCTGAGTGGGGGTTGTGAATTGTGAATAGGACAGGCTGTCTGGCTGAAGGATTGTATGCTGAAAGCTGAGGGGAGAGAAACAGTAGTCCATTGAGCAGGCAAAGAGAAACTGTAAGTAAGCTGCTGCAAGCTAGACTGGGGACAGCGCATTGGGTACAATAAAAGAAAAATAAATAAAAAATCTGTGTAATCTGAGGTAATTCAAGTGTTGCGGTATTAGCTGCTTGGCATTGGTAGTATTAAGTATTAATCTGCCGGGGAATTACAGTTATTAGTAACACAGTTATTATCGCAGTGTTAGTAATAACTGCAGGGCATTAGTAGTATTAATTATTAGTATTAATTAATCTGCTGGGGAATTATGATGGTACTGTGATACTAATAATTGCTGGGCATTGGTAGTTTTAATCTGTCAGGGAATTACTGTGGCAATAACTGTGTTACGAAAAACTACTGGGCATTGGTAGTATTTATCTGACAAATAATTACTTTGGTAATAAGTGTTACTAATAACTGCTGGGAATTGGTAGTATTAATCTGCCGGGAAACTACTGTGGTAATAACTGTGTTACTAATAACTGCTGGGCATTGGTAGAATTAATCTGCCAGTGAACTACTACAGGGGTACAGGTACTCTTAAAAAGTAGACCACACAGGGACTCCTATACAAACATGCACGCACAACACACACAGAGACAAACAAAGGTTGAACTTGATGGACTTTATTTAACCTTAAATACCATGTAACTATGTTGCTCTTGTGTTGTCATCTAATACATGTAAACAATAGTCTCAAAAAATTCTTCTTATTTTTACAAATCTGCTGTAAAGTTTATCTTATACCCAAAAGGATAGCCAAAGGAGTGCCTTTATTAAATCTTGGTTTTTCTTAAACATTGCACTTTAACACCAATAGAAAGTGGTAATTTTTGTTTTGCAAACCAGCTGCAAAGCTAGTCACTAACACCACATGCTCCACTTGCAAAGATACTTTTACCCCCATATTTTTATTATTTTAATTTTTCACTTTTTTTCTAGGCATATTTTCTAAGTACAGGAAGAGTGTAGCTCGTTTTGTGATGCAGAGTTTGAACAAATAATTGAGCTTTAGGTCCATGTTTAGAATATTAAACTATATTGCTAATTAATTGTTTCCTGGGGTGATTGGTTTGGTATGTAGGTGGATTGAATATAAGTCACCATGGGCATTGAATGTACTTTGAAGACCTCTATGGGCAAAAAAGGTTGGCCCATAGTTCTCTATTGAGTCACAGGAAGTCACATATACTAATGTCCTTCTGTGACCCATGAGCCGGGAGGGAGCCCGGCAATATAGTGGAGATCCATCCCACTGGCTGAATGACAGCTGGCTCTGCCTCTCCAGAGACAGAGCCAGCTGTGCCCACCCCCTCCCCGGAGAAATTGAGAGGGGAGGAGGAAATCCCTGTGGGGAGCTGCAGGGAGAGGATCGGGAACTCAGTGATCAGCGATATCATCCCTATCAATAGTGTCACAGGTCGGCTTGAATTATTTCACTCACCCCATAATTCTCCTTAAAAGCCAGAACATGTCACCTGGTACAAGTTCTTTGGAAGGGGACAACCCTTTTTTACAACGCCTCCCCAAAAATGCTGAAGGATATGCAGGCTGGCATCAACACAACAGGAGGCCACACTTTCACTGCCGTACTGCCCCCACAAACACTAAAGAAAAATTGCCCCCTACAGTTTCTTATAACACCTGCTGACCAGGTGTTTACACCCCCTTCCTGGCCAGGCCGTTTTGCAGTATTCAGTGCAGCGGTACTTTGACTGACAATTATTCCTATATCATCATGCACCACTGAACTGAAATTAATTTTATACCATTTTTGGGGGGACAGATAGAGCTTTTTTTTGGTGGTATTTAATCACCACTAGGATTTTTTTTTTTTACTATATTAAGGAAAAATTACTGAAAATGTAATGTTTTTTTCTTTACATTATGTTGGCAAACAATTATTTTTACCCATATTTTTGGTAACATATAAAAGACGGAGTAACGTCGGGTAAATAGACACCAAACATGTCAAGCCTTAAAATTGTGCGCACCCGCAAAAAACTACCATACCCAAAATTGACCATATGCGGGGCTTTAAAAGCTTTTACCGCTCATCAGTTTAGTGTTATCAGTGATTATTGGACCTAGAATTATTGCTCTCACTGCGACGTTCGCTGTGATATGTAACATGTGCGGTGTAATAGGCGCAATCGTAATGTTTGCATGTATGTGCACCAGACGCATGTTTGCACACGTGTATGTATGGGTCGGGACTTTTAAAACATTTTGTGTTTTTTTTTAAATTCTTTTTCATGTGTGAGTTAAAAAAAAAATTGCAACATTAATTTTTTTTTCCTTCTTTTTTTTTTTTACTTAACGTTATTGTTATCACAAAGGGGGCTAAGAAACCCTCTATGTGATAGCAAAGAGATGTGACAGGTCCTTTTTATGGAGACATGGATGAAGGCCCACAAATATTTATAAGTATGTTCTGATGTTTCCTATAAGATAGGGTAAGGTATTTGTTATTTTGGCACAGGACTGGCTGCTACTGGGGTGCAAACCCCTTTCCTTTTATACAGATTGATAAATGAGACTCAGTCTAACTATAGTTATTTATTTTATTAATTTATTAACGCTAATTTACATACCATTGACAGCCTACCTGTAGATGTGCATTCAAATAAGCAAAAGTCAGCTATACAAAACTTACATTAAAGTTTTCTGTTCATCTAACTTGGCCATAGGGAAGGCTTTAATGTAAGTGTTACTGTGTGACTGTGTGAATAGAATTTATTACAAAATCAGTATTAGGATTCTTACTCCTTCTGTTGAAGTAAAAGAAGTGATAGTCCACATTAGAGCAAAGGAACAGATGCAGGATGTATGGTAAACTTACAGCTTATATAGTCTTTTAGCATTTTAAAGTATATCTATGCCCAGCCACAAAAATATCATAATGGCTTCTTTTTTTTAATTTCAAATAAGTTTTATTAGGTTTTGCAATACAAACAAGGTAAGGAGATAGTCAGCATGTCAATACCTTACAGTAAAAAATAAAGAGAAATGGTAACATTCAAAATATGAACAGCGGAACCATAAATCCAGTAACATTAGGTATTCAGTGATAGTATTAACAGGTCAGAGGCAGTAGTCTCATTGACAATATTTTAAAACTCACAAGAGGATTCTAGAATGATGATTATCAAAAGGGAGGCTACATATCTGTCAATAAAGATAAATGGCATTCCATCATTTCCCATAGTAACAATGAGCATCAAATTTTTAGAGGGACCAGAAAAGAAAAGAGGCAAGTAAAGAATTGAAAAGAGATCAGGAAGAGTAAAGAGTAGATAGTGAGAAAGTGAAGAAAGGAGGGAGGTGGGGAGGGGGGAGTGTGGAAAGTAGGGAATGCATGGTTCAGGATTGGGAGGAGGAAGGCTGGGAAGTGGGAGGAGTATAAGCCAAGTTTCATGGTGTGGTGTGCCAGAAAATGGGAACATATCCGTTGCATCAGAGCGCAAGACCATACATTGGTCTCCGTCAGTATTTCAATTTGTCAAAGTCATTAGTACACTTGAAATAGAACCTGAAGGCTGACTGTGCTATGAAACTGTCCAGAGTATCCTGTTGGTTGCAAGTAGCTCCTCCAATGCATGTACATTCTCGACTTGGACAAGCTATTCCCTTATAGTGGGCGTGTGCTTCTGCCTCGAGTACCGGGGAATGATTGTACGTGCAGCATTAATGAGTTGTCTATGTAGTGATTCATAGGTGCCCAAGGAGGATTCTGATCTCCAATGTAAAAGGAAAGACCTTGGGTAAAAATTGCAGAGCAGTGCCCGTGATGCTTTCGATCACAGTATGCACCTGACACCAGTAAGGTTGAATGCGTGGGCAGGACCAGAAAATGTGGGAGAGTGTGCCATCCCCGTCATGACATCTCCAACAAGATGATGGTAAAGCAGGGTATACGCGGTGTAATAAGTGGGGAGTCCTATACCAAAAAGTTAAGTTTAAAATTAGTTTCTTGTATCCTGCTATTGATCGTATACTTGTGGACAGCTGTGCAGATGTCTGACCAAGAATGTTCAGTTATGCTAATTTCAAGTGTTCTTCCCATTTGTTGTGTAGGTTAGGCAAAGGTTTTATGTTGGTATCTCTGGTCAAAGCGTACAGCCAGGAGATCAAATCTCTGGATGGTCCATCTCCCAAGAAGATCTTTTCAAAAGGTGTGAGGTTTCTGGAAAAGTTGGATTTATGATCAGGTGTCATCAAATAATGATGTACCTGAAAATAGATCCACCAAGGGACAGATCCACGTTGTGTAATTTTGCAAGATCACTTTTGTTTAAAAAGGTTTGCGACTTAAAAAAGAGTTTCACCCTTAGGGGCAGCTCTGGAGTCCAACAAGATAGGATTTCCTTTGTAGCACCTGGAGGAAAATCTCGGTTGTGTGTTAAAGGCACCATGGGGCTGTGTAATGAGGTAAACACATTGCCTCATCGCAAGTGAGAAAAAACATCTAGAGTTGCACCTATGAGAGGATGAGTCCACACTTCAGCTGCCCAGAACGAATCTCCAAGCCATATTATAGATGACAAGGAAATTCCTGACCACGGATCTCTTCCACGGACACCTATAATTTGGCGTCAGCGCGTACATGCCAATGTATTATCCTAGAAAGTTGTGCAGCTTTGTAGTATGTATACATGTCCAGTATATTGAAGCCTCCGCTACTTTTGGGTGCTTTAAGGAGGAACCAAGGAAGACGTGTACTCTTATCACTCCAGACAAAAGAGGAAAAAGTGGTAACTTGCGGAACAAAGAACGTGGCAATCTAATAGGTATGGTATTGGAATAAGCATAGTAGTCTGGGGAGGACATTCATTTTCAAGAGAGCTGCTCTCCCAAACCAGGAAAAAGTCGCCAGTTAATTAAAACTTTCTGTATCATATCATGTAGGGTAGCAAAATTAGAAGCATACAAAACGCGTCAGGTCCGAGGCCAGCTTAATTTCTAAATATTGAATATGTGAGGGGCGCCATTGGAAGGTAAACGTCGATTTTAACAGCAACGCTGTAGGGTTGATTTCAGATTTCAAAAAGTTTATTTTAAGATTGGTCAGGGAGCCATACGTGTCAAATAAAGACATTAAATGTGTTAGGGAGGAGTGTGTGTCTGTGAGGAAGAAGAGTTAGTTCTCCACGTATGCTGCTGTCTTGTGTTCCGTATGTGTTCCGTATCACCCAACGTGATACCATAGATGTTAGCATCGGCCTTGACCAATCTAATGAATGGTCCTAGAGTCAGGACACAGTGTTGGGGACAATGGGTACGTATCTATTGCAGCATACGATTCCCTAAGCCTATATGCCAGAGAACCTCAAACATGAAGTCCCAGGCCACCCTGTCGAATGCCTTCTCTGCATCAGTCGACAGAACAAGCGATTCAAGATTCCGTTGGCCCAGCCCAGTGAATTAAGGTGAGCGGTTTGATGGTGTTTTCTTTAGCCTCTCAGCCCAGGATAAATCCCACCTGATTGGTGGTAATCAAGGAGGGTAACAGTGGGAGAAGGCAATTCGACAGGCCCCTTGTAAAAATCTTCAAATCCACGTTCAATAAAGACATGGGTCTGTAACTAGAGCAGGACTGAGGGTCCTTACCTTCTTTAGGAAGTACTGTAATGTGAGGTTAAAGCTGTTGAAGTGGACGTTGTTGGGTAGGGTCAATGGAATTGTATGTTGACAACATGTGAGGAAGCAAAATAGCCAAGAACGATTTGTAATATTGAGAAGATAGACTGTCTGGTTCGGGGCTTTTTCCAGGTTTAGATTGTTTGATGGAGGTCAATATTTCCTCTTCAGTAAGGGGGGTATCAAAAGCCTCAACAAGCAATGCATCAATTTTAGGTTTGTTGGCTTTTGTAAGCGAGGAGTTAATGCGCGCAATACGAGTGGTGACAGTACAGTGATTGAGTGGGGCCCAGGTTATATAACAGAGTATAGTAATCTTGGAAACACAGGCTATCTCTGGAGGAGAGTGCGTCACCACATTCGGAGATTTCCGTATGCTGTGGATATGTGAGCTGAATTTTTTTGCACTGACTGCCCTGGCTAGAAGTTTCCTGCATTTGTTACCTTCTAAGTAAAAATTCCCCGTGCATAATGTGAAAGTGCTATGTATCTTAACCATTAGGAAATGAAGGAGTTCTTGTCCGGCGGAAGTTAAATGAGAACTATGAGGGTGAGTGAAAACCACTCAGCCTCATAGTTTGAGCCAACGTGTGACAATGAAACTGTCACACGTCAGCTCAACAGATCGGGAAATGAGCGAACACATACCGTCAGTCGCTCACTTCTCGATCCTGTCCCTGCCGAGAGCCGTGACTGTCACTCACGGCTCCCTGCAGGGATTCCCCCCTTCCCCAGTCCGATCCGCCAGTGCTGAATGGCGGAACGGACGGGGAGGGGGCAGGCTACAGCTGGCTCTGCCTCTAGATAGGTAGAGCAAGCTGTCAATCACGCAGCTGGGTGGATCTCGACAGTAATGTCGGGATCCGTCCCGGCTGCTTCAGTCTCAGTATACCGCGAGCCGCAGCTCGCGGTATACTGAGCTTTGCGTGACAGGAGGACGCTACTTTGTGTCCTCATGTGACCTTTAGGAGAACTATGGAGAAAAGCACTGACCCCATAGTTCTCCTTTAAACTCTTGTAAAGTTCGCTGGGCTTGAGATTCCTTATGAGCAGCTTCTAAGCATTGAATTCGGGCTGCGAGCTCTTGAATCTTTGCAAGTAGTGCCCTTTTAAGGTTAGCTGCCAAGGAAATAAATATAACCCTGATGACATATCTCCAGCAGCATTGAAGGCAAAGTATTCTCTTAAGTCAGCAGAAAGGGTGTCAACACGAGCAATGTGAAGGGTTGAGGCGCCAATTCAATTGTCGTGGAATAAGGGGCGTGAGAGAAAAAGTGGCCGAAATTGGAGCATGGTCTGAGGTATTATGTTTCCTATGTGAGAGGCCTGAAGTCTGGGGAGGTCTGATCGAGAAACAACGTTAGAGATTACACAAATGGAGTAATTTGTGTAATCTCTACCGTTCGGATTGAGCGTCCTCCAGGTGTCACAAAGATGCAAAACAGCAAGATGCTGTTTTAAGAACTTGAGAGTACGATAAGGTAGAGAGGACTTCCTATCAGATGTGTCCAAGAGTGAGTTTACGGGTGCATTAAAGTCACCACCCACAGTTAACATAACCGCTGCAAAATCAGATAGGTGGGAAATAAATCTGCTCAGGAATGTGGCATGGTTCCTATTGGGAGAATAAACTAAGGCTATCGTCAATTGTACCTGGCCTATCATATCCTTCAAAGCAAGATACCATCCATCTCTATCCCTAAGTTTGTCCTAAACCTGAAAAGGAACATGATTATGAATGAGTATGGACACTCCACAAGATTTGTTGGAAGGGGAGGAAGCATGAAAGGCTGAATGGTAGTGATGAGCTGCAGTGTAGCACTTAAAATACTGAGTTATGGGTGTGTAGGGGGCGGTCAGTCCAAATCCCACTCTGAGTGGGTGAAGAAAGAAACCGGAGAGTGACCGATACAATTGGGGGAGGTAACAGAGGTAAGTATATCTCAAAGCATCAGGCGAACAACCTGAGTCACACCGCAACCCAGCAATAACATATGCAGTAATGAGTCCGATCCTGCTGTCTCCCAGCTAACGAAAGGTTGAGGACCCTAAATCAACAGCTGTGAGGAATTCAACATGTAAATGAAATGATACGTACAGGTGTTGGAACGCAGCACCCACATTCCAGCTCAACAAGATAGCAGAGTAAAAGTATACAGCTGTAAAGTAAAACAGTGTCCTAGATCAAACAGGATGACTACAGGATACTACACTCTGAGACCCGCCGTCAGAGATCATGACTAAGCAATCAGATGGTGAAATATAGTAAACAGATGAGGAGCATGCTATTCATAAACTGCATAGCAATAATAACACACAATCCACCAGTTCCCCCAGTTACATCATTCCAGAAATCCTCACCCATCATGGAGGCCGGTAGTGTCCCAGGGTCCCACAAATCCAGTAACACTCAAGCATAATCAGGGAGCTCTGGCTAGGCCACAGGGACCCCACCAACCCCGCATGGGAAAGGAGTGGAAAGCTGCACAAGCAATTGTAGCTAATACCATATAGTGGTTAAAAGACAATATTGAGTTGCATAAAACGGGGGGAAGAAAACCCACAGGTTAATTAAATAAACCATGTTAAATGGCACAGTCAAGTGATCATATACTACTAAATTTCTGATTGAGTAATGGGAACTAAAAAAAGGCAACAAAATGCTATACTCGAGCTATACTCGCCAGTTTACACGAAGGCTGCAGAAGATCCGAGGTCAGCGAAATCTACTTTACTCTATTTACTGGTGACGGACTTCTTCCTCACTGGAATCACCAGAGAGTCGCGATGATTGTGCGATGTGGGCATAAACGGTCTCAGACCTTCATACCAATCCTGGACGGTGACCGAACGAAGGCCCAGTTGTGAGCAGAAGGCATCATGCTCTTCAGGGGTGTGTAAGTGGGCCGTCTTACCCTTGTGAGTACCCGATAAGCAAAACAGGAAACGCCATCTATAGATTATACCTTGATGGCGTAGGCATTCCAGTAAAGGACGTAATGCCCGTTGTTGCAATGTGATTAGTGAAAGATCTTGGAACAATTTCACTTCCATGCCCTCAAAGAATACAGCGCCTTTCTGCCTGGATGGTTGCAAGATTTCCTCCTTCAGGGAGAAGCTTTGAAGACAGCAAATTACATCCCGAGGTAAGTCGTCCTGAGCATTACACCGTCTGAGTATATGGTGAGCTCTGACAAACAAAATGGGGGAGTCCAGAGGCCATTCCAGGGGGTCAATGAAAATTTGAAGGAGAGTTGAGGAGACAGCATCAGGCATAAAACTCTCCAGCAAACCTTGGAACCTGATGTTTGACCTGCGCCCTCGGTTGTCAAGATCCTCGAGCTGTCATCCTATGGTTATGAGAGAATGCAAGGTGGTGTCCTGTTGAAAGCGGAACTTACAAAGCTCCCTGTTCCTGTTGGCTCCAACGTGCTCCACAGCCCCCAATCTGCGGCCTACGTCCAGAATGTCTTCTTTCAGCTTAGTCACTGCAGAATGCAGTGTATCTTTAATGTCACTGGCAATGGAGGTAAGATCAGATCGGGTGGGAAGGTGCTTTATATACGCATGCACGGAGCCTTCTCCGATGTCTGGAGCCATAGCCTGAGAATACAGCGTCCCCATAATGGATGTCAGAATGTTGGAGGCCTCATGGTGTTGGGTCCCAAATAATTTCCTAATTTTGTTGTCCCAGAGACTGTAGAAGCTAATGTTGGGTGCAGGTGAGCAGGAGCTCCTGAATTAAGTGGCCATCTTGCGCACCTCGGAAACTACACCCCTATCATATAGGCTTTATAGGTTAATTTAATTTTCAAAAATGTTGTTTAACCCTTCTAAATATGCACCTTCCATTAAAAGAATACTTGATAAATTATAATGCCTATACTGGATTATGTGTTTATTTTTTCATCAAGAAGGAATCAATACTGGAGCATAAGGAATCAGGCTCCTTTTACATATAAATGAAGGCTCTAGGTGCTCCAGTGAAGAGATCTCACTGATGGTGCCCACCAGAGATAAATAAACTATTATGTATTGTATGCACTTGATCCTAAAAACAAGGTCTCCAAAGCCCAACTGAAATTTAAATGCAAATACACTAAATATAGTCTAGGTGCATCAAAAAAGTGCACACATTTTTACAGTTTGTTTTCTTTAAAAACTAGTGACAACCTGGGTATAAAGGCCTGTCCCCTGCCAGTTTGCTGTAGAGAAATAACCATGCTCTCTCTGTGGAAGCAGTGGTCTTTTTGCAGAGGTCAATCAGCAGAATTAAACCTTTTTTTGATTGTAGCCCATTTCCAACTTCGCAGAGGTATTTAAAAAACAAAACAAATGCCAGCAATAAACACTGAGTGTACATGAAGTCGGCATATGCAGCTGATGTATATGAAAACAGAAACTTACATTTTTGTTAGCTTTCCTCTTTATATCTTCATGGAAATGCCTCTGTGTTTTGCAAGCTCTGTTTGAGCTTTCCCATTCATTAGTATTCATAGTGAAACCCCCTCATCCCCCTTCCCCCTCCAGACAGTGCATTGTGTGCAATGGCAGAGTTGCTGTTCACTGATCGTGTTACAATGATTAACAGGGAGGGGGAGAGCTGTTTACAGCCTAATTACCATCCGACCCTGGTATCTGACTGATTTTGCTGTGGAGAAAATTTGACATTTTTAGGCTTCAGGACTAATAAAACCTTCATTAAAAAAATGAGGAAAGCCTAAACTGTGAGTCATAAAAATGTGCACATATATACAGCACTGCACGTCTTCATTACCACAAAAAAATGCAAATCACTTACAAAGGGGGAAATGGACTTTAAACTCTGACTCGGGGTGTGTGGGACCACTGCTTTTGCACAGAGACCAAGGGTCCTTCTCTGCACCATGCCGGCAGGAGTTAGACTTTTCTGCTTAGGATGCTGTTGCTTTCTAAAGCAAACATATTGTAAGACTTTGCAGACCTTTTGTTTTGATGCACCTGGGAATGTTTTTAGCTAATTTTGACTGAAAGTTCAGTTTAATGTTAAAATAATTGTTAACTTCTTTCTCAGTACTCGTCTAATTTCTTGATTCCTTAAGCTATAAATTACTCGATTGCACATTGGTGTTAAAACTGAGTAAATCACAGCCATTAGGCGGTCATAGTTTGCAGAGTTTGTTTTGATTGGTCTAACATACATAAAACTCGCACTACCAAAAAAAAGAAAGACCACTGTCAAATGAGCTCCACATGTAGAAAATGCTTTTTTTCTGCCCTCTGCTGACTTTATTTTTAACACAGTGGAAATTATTTTAAAATAGGATAGAATAATACAAGTGAAAGCAAGAAAAAGAAGAAAGGAATTGATGGCAAAATTAACCCTAACATTAAGTGAAATATCTGAACAGGCCAAATTCATCACTGGATTAAAGTCACAGAAGATATGTTCAACTCTGTTTGGACCACAGAAAATAAGACGAGACAACAAAATGATTTGTGTTAAAGGTCCAAGGAAGCCAATAACCCAACAGCAAGCTGCCAACTCAAAACAAGATATGATAGTCATTATGGATGGATACCTTAAAGGGTTGCATATGGCTATGAAGCGGTCAAAGGCCATTGCTGTTAAAAGATAGGTTTCTGTGGCACCTAGTATATGAAAACAATAGTTTTAATGTTTGCTTTGCAGAATATTAAAAAACTAAAAAAGCTATCAATAAAATAAACTGTGTATGTAGCATGGAGAGTTCTTTGGTGAAGGGCCAGTGCCTGGTGTTTACAGAGAGAAGTTAGAGAATGTGTTTGGAAGATCACTATGCAACATTGTTTGGGCTGCAACTCTTGTAATTTAAAGTTATAGTGAGCTAATTCTGCATTAGATTAATGTTCCCATGCAGTTTTGCAAGACTCCAAATAATTATATAACGATGCAGGTTTTACCATAATGGCTTTGCTTGTTTTATGAAAAGATATTTTGAGGGAAATACATTCTGACCACCATCTCATCTCTATAGAGATGTGGCAAAAAAGCAGTTAAAATTCATTTCAGATTTCTTGCATCAGATCAGCAAAATTTACCAGCATATGTGTAGCATGAGGCTCTGCCTTACTAGACATAATTTGAATGGATTTTTTAGGCAGCTACTCACATTAAAACAGTGTGAATTTTACTGATTTGATAAGTCAGCTTTGAAAAAAAAATCTGCCTTTGTCTTGCAAACTTTTGCAGTACTTAGATCTGAACCAAACATATGTAAATCCCCACAGAACATGTTTAAGGAAGATGAAAAATAGATTTCTGTAAGCTGTGGAAGAAAAACTAAAATAAATATTACAAAGCTGACCAAAATAGAAAATGTATATGATGTACTAAAAATTAGAATTTAAATTCAAAATAAAATAACTCTAATTTGCATATGTTGTACTGAAAAATTACTATGCAGTCACAAGACATATCTTCCCATCATTATTTAATAAATAGATCAGAACATTTTTTGAAGACTGATACAATTAATCATTTAATCATTATTGTATTTTAAATTTGCATGTAGTACTTTTCCATGATAAATAACATTTAACCTTACCATTACTTATGATCCAGCTCAGTGTAACCTTTAGTGTATGTGTCGTAAATATTTAACAGAACTGAAAACTAAATTCAAGATAGAAAAATATTTTTGTTTTTCAGCACTTGATGTTATAATGTTATCATGCTTAAAATACATTTTCAAACTTTTTTTAGCATGGCAGGATTTTTATTTTACTAAATGTAATAGACAGAGCTTATTTTAATGTTTGTAAAGTATTTAAAAATATTAAAAACGGGACTTCTAGTAAATAGCAATGAACTATAAATAAATAATTTATCTTTTAGATAACCTTCATTGTTCTTGGCAGCAAACACAGAAAGGGAGCAATGAATGTTTATATAAATTATGCCACAACATATATCAGTAGCACAAATTCACATGAGATGCACAATTACTTGCAACAAATCAGTGAACTTAATAATTAACAGTATACCATATAATTGGCCATTTCCCATGATACTAGATACTAACTGAAGCCTCAATTACACTTAAAGATAAAAAGTTTATTAGAGTAAGTATGGTAAGCTGGTAAGCTAAGTGAAAATTAGATTATTGTTTTATCCCATGAACAACTGTAAATTATAAGTTTAAAGAAAACTATATTGGCTGCTCCCATGAACATACAGATGTAAAATCTATACACAGAAACAAATTCCAAAATGTGTGTAAAGTTAAAACATTTTTCTTTTTTTTTGTTTTGAATAGAATGTGGAAGGGTCAGAACTTCTGTAAAATGTTAATGCTGTCTATGTTGCTACCGGGAAGATTAACTGTCATGGTGAGAATTTTCTATAGTACAGAAAGATAGGAAATTCAACATTTTTAAGTTGTCACAGGAGCAAGAGGTGAAAGGAAATCCTCCAATGGCCAACCTCTTCCGGTACCAACTCTTTATGAGAGGATATACTCTTGAATTGGAGATTTCTTACTTCCTGCTGTGTCTTTAGGATAGAAATAGAAATTAAATCTACAGTACCTGATCGGATACAGACCTAGATCTCTAGGCAAAACCTTTGTTTAGTTTTGGATTTGAGTGTGGAGGGTTAGGCTCTGTCATTTTTCGTGGCCAAGTTGCTGTTGTTCCTTAGTAAAATAGAAATTAAATCTACAGTACCTGATCGGATACAGACCTAGATCTCTAGGCAAAACCTTTGTTTAGTTTTGGATTTGAGTGTGGAGGGTTAGGCTCTGTCATTTTTCGTGGCCAAGTTGCTGTTGTTCCTTAGTTGCTTCCACTTTGTTATAATACCACTAACAGTTGACCGTGGAGTATTTAGTAGCAAGGAAATTTCAAGGAACTCCTGAATCCAATGATTTGGAGGGGTGTCCCAATACTTTTGGTAATATAGTGTATATGGACAGCATAATTATAAATGAGTTTGACAATTGCTCAATAGCTCTTTGTTCAATAAAGTACAAGCAGTGTGTAGGAGCCCTTTGCCGGACTGCTGTTTAATCCATCCATGCAGTGAAATACATTCCTTATTTCTCGCTCCCATCAGTTTCCTCCTCTCCTTGCGACTGGTCTCCCAAACCTGATGCACTTTGCTGCCCAGCCGATTGTAGCTCTCTGATGTCATCACATACAATGCAGGACTAGCAGTCCTGCACTATATGGGAGGACAACTGTTTTGGACCTGCTCACAAATTTGGATCGGATTAAAGGCTCCGTACTTATATCTGCCACCTGGCCTGATTATATATATAGAGTGCACACTCAGAGAAGAAAGGAACGCTGAGACATTAGTCCAGAGTAAGATACTTCTGTTTTTATTCTTCTGCTTTTACATGGTTTTATTTAGGCAGCTGAATGCGTATATTTAAGTGTAGCATTGCAGAAAAGCATTTTAGTTTATATATTCTAGTTTATCATTGGTTAGATCCATTCATGCATAACTTCCTGCCAGGATGTTTATATCTTTCGTCTTGGGTGTTGTCCTGAAGAGGAGGCGCCATCTTGGTTCCTATTTCTAGTGCGTACTTCGCATATGAAGGGGAGGGGGTGCTTAGCACCAATTTCTGAGTAAGGTTTTGAGTAAGGCAAACGAGAGCGAAAAGCAAAATAACATATATATTACAATTGATCTATTGAGATAGGCATTTTGTCATAATCGTACTTAACCACATCCATTACACAACGAGGGCCTGTCAACATTTCAGAGCATTAAACAGCAGGGAGAACATGTTGAGGGAGTAAGGAAAAAGGTAAATGTTTGTACCTATTCCTTTTCCCCCTTGTCAAATGAATATTTAACCCATGCAGTGCAAGGGGTGGGGTCCCACTGCATGGGCTTTAATGTGTTGAGGCAATTCATTTTAAATGGACTTTTTAATGAGCCTATATCTTTTTTTCCAGTGCACCTTAGCACACAAATGATTCAAATCTTTCCAGATTTTCATTTTTGCATTGTAGTAACACATGTTAAAACGCACTTTTTACTGCATGTTGGTGTGGTGCATTGTAGTGCAATTCTTTTTAAATTACAGCATCTTTTAGTGCCCCTACACTAAAAGATGCTGTGACAGCATCTTTTAGTGCCCCTACACTAAAAGATGCTGTCATTTAAAAAGAATTGCACTACAATGCACCACACCAACATGCAGTAAAAAGTGCATTTTAACATGTGTTACTACAATGCAAAAATGAAAATCTGGCCTTAAGGTTGTTAACATACAATTCTCCGGCACAATATTGCTCTAAAAAAAGAGATAATTATGGCAAGCAGTTTGGTAGCAAGCCTCCAGTTTAGTCAGCAAAGCAGTGCCACAAAGTTGGTGAGGAATGGTCAGCTTTAAAATAGCATAGATTAAAACAGTGACACAAATACTCAGTGAGCAAGGTAAATAAAAAGTTTGCTTTTGGAGCACATACATTATAAGCTACATTTTTGTTAATTGCAAGGGCACTTACTGTAGATGTTAAACCTTAATACATTCAAGTTTAGTGTCACTTTAAGCATCTGTATCAAAACTGGCATCTGCAAGTAATAGTCTGCATTCCATCCTTTTAAAAGGAACCATTATGCAAACTAAAGATGGCAGTGGTAGTGTGCAGTTTGCAACTACCATGCCTAAAGGTGCCCATACACTGCACGATTCTCGTATGATAGCGGGATTTCCCGTGATTCTCGTACGAGAATCGTGCAGTGTGAATGAAGACGTGCGACCGTTTCTTCTGTACCGTCGCATGTCTTTTGTCTAAGGAGCATGCTAGAAAACCAGACGAAAATCTTACGATTTTCGGCTGGTCTGAATGATGCTCGGGAGACAAATGCCGAACAGGCCAGTGTGCGCACGCGCACACTGCCCGTTCAGCATTGCGGTCATCGGAATGATCGCAAGTACAATCTGCCTGTCCAAGATGGGCAGATCGTACGTTTTTAAAATTACTTCTAAGGTCTTGCGATGGTTGTAAAGTGTATGGCCACCTTTACATTGCAGACCCTTGGTCAATTTACATTAGGATAGCTGCAGCACATTAAAGAAGCCCAGAGACCACACTTGCATTCTGCATTCATAGACTGCAAGAAAACAAGCATACCAAGTCTAAAAAATGGGTAGAATATATACTGATTTATGTTCACAATGAAAATGAGAGTAAAGAGCATTAACGTTGCCTGGCCACACACAGTCTGATTTGCACTGCAATTGTAGAACAATTCACAACAAACACAAGGAAGAGCAAACAGCAAAGCAAATTGATTGAATTGCAGAAGTCTTAACAAAAGCTTGGATGCTCATTAACTAAATAAAAGTATTCAAATCTTTTTACTGCAAAAGTGTAAAAATAGAAAGTTGCTGCATATTTTAGACATATGAAAAATAGAATGTGATGGTGATAACCAGTTTTTTATACTTTTTGCAGTCTTGATATTATTTGGAAGTAAGTTGATATCTTTTATCTGTATATGTCAAAGGACTTGAGGGTAGAGATGTTCAGATACCAGGTACTGTACTCGGTACAAGTACATGTACAGATACTTTTCCATGTCCAGGATTAGAATGGAGAAAAATTCAAAATTTAGGAGGCAGCTGTCATTTTTAAGGTGCATACGGAGCTCCTGGG